ATTGGCAATTTGATTTATTTCTTGTCTTATATTTCATGGACCATTTGCTTTATGGATAATCGAATAATGTTGCTGTAATAGTTAACAATAAATTTTCTTCCAATTTTTTGTTTTTTTTTTCGGCTGGGATGGGGGTGGGTTTTTGGTAATAAAGAATTATGGCCCCGAGGAAGATAGTTTGAAGGAAAATGCCTATGAAATGAAAAAAAAGAATGGGTTTAGGAAATTATCAATAGAAAATCTATTTGCACGTAATTTTTTTTGTGCTTTCGTTTCGTTTTGGGGAGTGATAGACATGGATTTAGAGTTTTCTTGTTAAGTAGTGTTGATAAATTGCCAGGACGAAATTGAGGAAATTTCTTTTTAACTTTTTAAGGGATATCTGGATAATCGAAGATTTTGGGGATGAAGGGTTTGGGGTGGAGTGGGTTTTTTTTTGAAAATAAGTTATATTTTCTTGCCATATAAATATCCAGATACTTTTAACAATTATATTCTCTACCCTAAAATATTTTAATGCTTAGTCAGCTCTCTCTCTTTCTCTCTCTCTCCAAGGATTTTAAAATTACAAATACATCAAAAATCTTTTTCTGAAATTTTTGTAACAATTCAATTATTAGCATTGATGCATGAACATCTATATATTTTTTCCTAATTATGGTACGGTTCCTCCAATTATGAATTCCGCCGCATTTGCAACATTCAATAGTCCATTAACAATCAGAACCAAAAATCAATGCATCGAACAATTCATCCAATCATAAATTTATTCATGTGTGGAAATTGAGCAACAGCAACAATGGAACGACAACAATTCCCCTGTGTTCGCAGCAAATGCGAGTAAATATTTTACAACAATAATTATGGGATTTTCGACAATGCATTTTAATATGCCATCGACAGCTACAAAACATATAAAAAGGCTTAGAATACACCATTTCCAACAACAACACATTTTAAATGCACTTAGACGAGAATTTCAGGGACTTTTTAAAAAAATATTTCGAATGAAAAATAATCCACTTTTAGTTAGAAAATATTTTTCAAATGTTTGTTTTGCTACTGTTCATTTTAAATATTTTATAAATACTTTTCGGTATTGATTGGATTTTTTTTAAATTCAAAGCAAATAGAGCAATTCTTAGTAAATCAAAAAAAAAAAAAAAATAATATTTTTTAACAAGCTTTGCTTTTTTAGCCATTGGTGCTTAAAAACAATTCTCAAAATGTCAACCTTTGGTCCTCCTCAAAAACTCTGACTTCTTGGACTTTAAAAAATTAATATCCATGATCCATGAAGAAAATTCTTAAAAATCTTAAATATCGTGGTCTGCTGATCCTTGAAAAGCATTATTTTTGATCCATGGATCCTTCTTACAAATCCCTGATTTCTTAGTCCATGAAAAATACTCAAAAAAAAAAAAAAATATTTTTGTCCTTAAAATGTATTCCAAAAAATTAACCTTGTAAAAATACTGTTTTATTAACGCCCTTGTAAAAATACTTTTTTTTAGGAACCCACGCCCTTGTAAAAATACTTTTTTTATGAACCCACGTCCTTGTAAAAATAATTTTTTATGAACCCACGTCGTTGTAAAAATACATTTTTTATGAACCCACGTCCTTGTAAAAATAATTTTTTTATGAACCCACGTCCTTGTAAAAATACTTTTTTTATGAACCCACATACTTGTAAAAATACTTTTTTTATGAACCCACGTCCTTGTAAAAAATTTTTTTTTGTGAACCCATGTCCTTGTAAAAATATTCTTTTAAAAATCCAGGTTCTTGTAAAAATATTTTTTAAAAATCCACGTTCTTGTTTAAATATTTTTTTAAAAAACCAGGTTCTTGTAAACATATTTTTTTAAAAATCCACGTCGTTGTAAAAATACTTTTTAAAAAATCCAGGTCGTTGTAAAAATACTTTTTAAAAAATCCACGTCCTTGTAAAAATACTTTTTAAAAAATCCACGTCCTTGTAAAAATACTTTTTAAAAAATCCACGTCCTTGTAAAAATATTTCTTTAAAAAAAGCCACGTCCTAATAAAAATACTTTTTAAAAAATCCACGTCCTTTTAAAAATACTTTTTAAAAAATCCACGTCCTTTTAAAAATACTTTTTAAAAAATCCACGTCCTTTTAAAAATACATTTTAAAAAAGCCACGTCCTAATAAAAATACTTTTTAAAAAATCCACGTCCTTTTAAAATACTTTTTAAAAAATCCACGTCCTTCTAAAAACATTCTTAGAAATCCAGGTCTGTCAAAAAATATTTCTTTAAAAAAAGCCACGTCCTTCTAAAATAATTTAAAAAAATCCACGTCCTTCTTGTAAAAATATTTAAAGAAAATTAATGTCATTCTAAAAATATTTAAAAAAAATCATGTCCTTATAAAAATATTTCTTTAAAAAAAGCCACGTCCTTCTAAAAATAATTTAAAAAAATCCACGTCCTTCTACAATAATTTAAAAAAATCCACGTCCTTCTTGTAAAAATATTTAAAGAAAATTAACGTCCTTCTAAAAATAATTTAAAAAAATCCACGTCCTTCTAAAATAATTTAAAAAATCCACGTCCTTCTTGTAAAAATATTTAAAGAAAATTAACGTCCTTCTAAAAATATTTAAAAAAAATCATGTCCTTCTAAAAATATTTGTTTAAAAAAATCCACGTCCTTCTTGTAAAAATATTTAAAGAAAATTAATGTCCTTCTAAAAATATTTAAAAAAAATCATGTCCTTCTAAAAATATTTGTTTAAAAAAATCCACGTCCTTCTTGTAAAAATATTTAAAAAAATTCATGTCCTTCTAAAAATATTTAAAAAAAAGCATGTCCTTCTAAAAATATTTGTTTAAAAAAACCCACGTCCGTCTAAAAATATTTTTAAAAAAATCCACGTCTTTTAAATAGATTTAAAAAAATCCACGTCCTTCTAGAAATAATTTTTAAAAAATCCATGTCCCTCTATAAATATTTTTACAAAAAATCTCTGTCCTTTTAAAATAGATTCAAAAAATCCACGACCTTCCAAAAAAATTAGTAAAAAAAATTCAAGTCCTTCTGAAAAAAATTTTAAAGAAATTCACGCACTGTAAATCTTTCCAAAACTATTTTTAAAGAAATCCACCTCGGGATTTTAAGAATATTTTTCAAAGGACCAATAGCCAAAAAATATATTTTTCCGAATTTAAAAAAAAATCCATAATTTATAGGACTTTGAACCCTATAATTTTTTAATTTTTCTTTTTGGAAATGGTTTTTATTTTACATAACCCAATGCATGTGTAAAATTATTACGTACATTGCAACCAGCGTATGTATGTAAGTATGTATCGCAAAACGGACGTAGTTGCCAATAGCCATAAAACCACAAAATTATTGCTCAAATAATTAGCCTCAACAATAAACAGCCAGCAACAACTAAACATTTTGCAGAAAATCCGAAAAATGATGAATGTTAAACAAAAGGCATTACATCCATAGAGCGGGGTATTGATGAATTATTGTTGGGCATAAAAATATTCTATTCGAATTGGACATAAATTAGTGAGAGTGTGTGTGTTGAGTCAAGCATGACTTTTGTAATGTGGTATGTAATTGTATATTTTTAAAATATTTAGCTCTAAAAAAATGTTAAAATAAATATTTTTTAAATCATGTTCTCTAAGAGATTGACGAGGGCGTTTTCGGGGCTTGTGTCCCTTTTTAAAAATATTTTAACCTCCATCCAGACGTCAAGGAAGTGGACGGTAGAAAACAGATGTTGCTGGCAGCAGAAATGGTTTGAAAAGTAAAGAAGCGACTTAATCGAAACCTGCGTCGCAGTGGCCGAAAAATGACTGGTGAGCTGAACATATCGCAATATTCCATTCGGCAAATGTTGAAAAACGAGCTGGGGGTAAAAGCCATTAAAATTCCAAAAAGTGCAAGAACTTACACCGCAAAAAAAAAAAGAGAATAGACTCAAAAGAGCTAAAGAGTTGCTTCGATTGGCAGAAAGTCGTGAACTGCCGATTTTGGTTTTCTCCGATGAGAAAACATTCGTTGTCCCGCAGTTTGTAAACAAACAAAATGATAGTGTTTAATTGCCAAAGAGGTCAGCTGAAAATGTGCACCTTCGGTTGGCCACCAGAACTCAAGCACCGGGCATGGTGATGGTATGGGCTGCCATAACAGCCGATGGTCGCTCTCCGCTCGTATTAATCGACCGTGGCATCAGAATAAATGCCAAATATTATCGCGAAATATTCTGGAAGGTGTATTAAAGCTTTGGGAATGCAAACATTTTGGCCGCAGACCTTGGACATTCCAACAGGACTCAGCACCATAGCACTCAGCACGCGCCACACAAGAGTGGTTACAAAATGAGGTTCCTCGCTTCATTTCCAGCGCACAATGGCCATCTCCGGATACCACTCTGTTGGACTATTGTGTCTTGGGTATTTTGGAAAGCAAGGTTGGCACTAAAAAATAACAAAGTGTCGATCACCTCAAGCAAGCGCTTCGCCGGAATGGGCCAAAATACCGCAGAGCAAGGCAGCGTGTGACTGTGTTTCAATAGCCATAATTCGTGCCAAAGGTGACCAATTCGAACAAATCTAAACTTATTCTAAAGTTTAATGCCATTTCCGACATTATTTGCTTTCATTCAATTAAATTTAAAAAAATGTAAAAATTATGGCGTTTGACTTTGTTGCAGTTTTTGGCACTTGGTGGAGAGGAAGATCTCAAAAAAACTAGGGCTATTTTAAAAATATTTTTTTTCAATTTTTTTTTATAAACCGTAGTCCTTGCTCTTCTTAAAAATCATTGATTATCCCAAAAACATTTTAAAAAATCCATGTTTTTGATTTTTCGAAAAAAAATAAATAAAAATTTTAAATCCATTTTTTTAAATATTTCTAAAAAAACATTCACAATATCCTTAAATTAATCTATGATCCCTTGGTGTAGGGCACACCATGCATACAAGGAGTCATAATAGGGGGGGGAGAGAGGAGGCGAGAGAGTTTTGAAAAGGTAATAAATTTCAAGTAACTATAACAACATCCTTTTGCAACCAAGTTTGTGTGGTTTCTCAGCTGCCATCCTGGCAACTCAACTCAACTGCACGGCCCGGCCAAGTCAAGCCAAGTTAAGTTGCCAAAGAAACCATTTGTGGCTAACAAGAGAAAACACACAACAACAACAACCACACCGACATAATAACGCATGTTTTCCCGTCTGACATGACAACCGGGAGGAAGACATGGAAACAACAACCAACAACAATTTTATTGTTTTTCCCCGGCTCTCTCGCTCAGTGCAATTTTGAGTGACTTGTAGCAGTTGTACGGAAAATTGTGTAAAACGAAGTTGCGAAGTTTTTTTCTTTCAAATTTGTTGTTGTTGTTCGTGTTGTTGTAAAAAGTAAAACTTTCCATTTACAAATGTCAAAAGATGACGAGATACGTAATCTACAAAATAGACGTAGAAATATTTTATTTCTGGTGCAGCGTTATCTCCAAGACAATGGCCTCTTCAATACGGCAACGGCATTGGCCACGGAGGCGACTCGCCAGCTAAGCGAAGATTTTGAGCTGTGTGACAATGTCGATTTGGATGGCATTTATTTGGAATATGCCAGCTATTATCAGCTGAAGTTTGGCAAATATCCAAAGATTGTAAAACGAGCCAGGCCGGGGGTTAAACTGGAAATGACCCAGAAGCTGAGGAAGAAAAATGGCAAATGCAATCAGGCGCCAGACAACAATGGAGCGGGGCAGCAGCAGCTGCAGCTGGCGACAGGAGAGAATGACACTCGTAATCCGGCAAATGGCTTTGATGTGAATGACCTGCAGGTGGTGGTAAAGAAAATGGAAACGAGTCGCATGAAAATGGATGTGGGTTCGGGAAATCAAGCTGAAATTGATACCATGGAGGGAAATAAAGGCTCTGGAGATTCTGCCCTCACCAGGTTGCAAGAAATCCAACACAGTTCTCCAAATCCGGGTGGAGATTTGCTTTTGAGTTGCCAGGAATGGCAAAATCTGGCAGAATTGGTCAAATCCACAATTCTCAGTGAACAGTCCAAGCTAAAATGGTCGGATGTGTGTGGCAACTCCCAGGCCATTGAAATCATTAAGGAAGCTGTGCTGACTCCCCTCAAATATCCCCAGCTATTTAACCAAGGCCTTAGGCCCTGGCGTTCGGTTTTGCTGCATGGCCCTCCAGGCAGTGGAAAGACTCTTCTCGCCAAGGTGTTGTATTCCGAAACCCGGGACCAGGTGACGTTTTTCAACATTACCTCCAGTGTGGTCATATCCAAATGGCGTGGGGAATCTGAAAAGTTGCTAAAGATTCTCTTCTACATGGCCCAAAGACATGCCCCTTCTATAATTTTTTTCGATGAAATTGAGGGCCTAACCTCAAAAAGGGATCGCAGCACAGATCATGAGTCCTCGAAGCGTTTTAAAAATGAACTACTTCAGCTAATGGATGGCATGGAGCACTCCGCCCAAACTGCCAGTGTTTTCATTTTGGCCAGCACCAATTTGCCATGGGAAATTGATGAGGCTTTTTTGAGACGTTTTGAAAAGAAACTTCTGGTCCAGTTGCCAAACCCGTCGGAAAGGGGGAAATTAATTGAAAAATTAATACCACCCAATGTGAGGGTGGCTCCCGCACAAATGGAAACTTTGCTGAAATTATCCCACAATTTTACCGGTGATGAAATACGTTTGGCCTGCAAAGAAATTGCCATGCAAACGGTGCGACGTTTGACAAAAGCCCAGTTGAAGGGCGCCGAGCCGCTGCTGGAGGATGTCCCATTGGAAAATGCTTTTAGACAAATTAAACCTTTGAGTTTGCTGTTGATGGACAAACATGGTAAATGGCAAAAGGAACATGGTTCGTAAAGGCAAAGTCAATATAGGAAGAAGAGAAAGGGTGAAGGGAGAGGGAAAGAGAGAAAATTACAAAGGAAAATGGTACTGAAATTGTAACAATAAATTTTGAAATAAAAAAAAAAAATGTTGGAAGAAAAATTAAATAAATTGTTTTTGAATTTCGAACATTTTTTTTGAAATTCGAAATAATTATTCGAATTTTTTAATTTTTAATTTGAATTGAAAATTGAATTTTAATTATATTTTTCCAATTTCGCTAATGAAACAACCTAACTCGACTGACTTAACGATGTACCAACGTCCAGAGGAAATAGGTGATGCTAGAATCTTGAAATTTTGGGTGAGGGTCACTTTTGGGTCAGATAAGGCTGGGTTTCTGGAAATTCGTACTAGAACGGTACGAAAAGTATTAAATGGTACTAAACATGGTAGCCTTAGAATTTGAGGAAGCAGTAGAAGAGCTAGAACTCTTAAATTTGGAATGAGGGTAACTGACGGAGTATATGATAGGTGTACCAAAGGGTTTTTGGAAATACGCACTATAAATGTACGAAAATCACTAAAATGTTACCATTTCGTACCATTTGTTAGCATTTCGTATCATTTGGTACCATTTCGTAACAGGTAAACGGTTAGAGCTAAAAACTTGAAATTTGGAATGAAAATCAAGGTTGAGGAGGAAAGTCGAGGAAGCAGTTGAGCTAGAACTCTTAAATTTGGAATGAGGGCCACTGGTGGTGTGTATTATAGATGAACTAAAGGGTTTTTGCAAATTCGAACTATAAATGTACGAAAAACACTAAAATATTACCATTTCGTACCATTTGGTAGCATTTCGTATAATTTGGTACCATTTCGTATCATGTGCACGGTTAGAGCTAAATAACATGAAATTTGGAATGGGAATCAAGGTTAAGGAGTAGGGTCGATGTAAGGATGTAGTCTTGGAAATGTGTACTCCTGTATACGAAAAGTGCTAAACCGTACTAAATTTGGTACAACTTGAATTTGGAGGAACGGATGGAGCTAGAATCCTGAAATTTAAAATAAACACTATTGGCGGAGTGTAGGATTGGGATATGAAGGTAGTTTTCGAAATTTTCTACTTATATGTATGAAAGGTACTAAATGGTACTAAATTTGGTACAATTTCGATGTGGTTGCTCCTATAGAGTTGGAATGCTGAAATTTAGAAACATGATTGCTATTGCATTGTGAGACTGAGGCATGAAGGAGGTTTTGAAAGTTCGTACCTATGTGTCCTAAATGGTACTAAATTTGGTACAATTGTAGTTTTGTGAGAACCGATAGATTTTTGAATTCTTCATTTTTGGAAATATGATTTCTTTTGATTCTATGATGTAAGTAGTTATGGACGTTTGTACGTATGTGTACTAAATGGTACTAAATGTGGTACTAATTGGATTTGGGTAAAACGATATAGCTGGAATCTTGAAATTAGGAAACACGATTACTATTGCATTGTAGGATTGAAATATGTATTTTGGAAATTCGTACTTATGTGTACTAAATGGTACTAAATTTGGTACATTTAAAACTTTTAGAGAATCAATAGATTGGGAATTCTAAAGTTTTTGGAATTAAGATTTATATTGGATTGTATGATTTAGGTAGTTACGGAAATTTGTGCTTATGTGTACTAAATGGTACTAAATTTGGTACAATTTAAGTTTTGGGAGAACCGATAGATTTTGAACTCTGCAGTTTTGGAAATAGGATTTCTATTAGATTCTATGATGTGGGTACTTATGGACATTTGTACCTATGTGTACTAAAAAGTACTAAATTTGGTACCATTTAAGCTTTTGGAGAACCTATAGCCTATTCTGAAGTATTGGAATTATAATTTCTAGTGGATTTGATGATATGGGTAGTTATAGAAATTTTGTACTTCTATGTACTAAAATGTACTAAATTTGGCACAATTGCGTTTTGGACAAACCAATAAATCTGGAATGCTGAAATTTGGAATTAGGATTAGAATTGCATTGTAGAATTGAGGATTCAGGTAGGAAGTTATGGAAATTCGAACTTATGTGTACTAAGTGGTACTAAATTTGGTACAATTTAAATTTTGGGAGAACCGATAGGTTTGGAATTCGGAAGTTTTTGGAAATAAGATTGCAATTAGATTGTATGACGTAGGTAGTTATGGAAAATTGTACTTATATGTACTAAAAGGTACTAATTTTGGTACAATTCGGATTTGGATGAAACAATAGAGCTGGTAACCTGAATTAAGATTAGAGTTGGAATGTAGGATTAGAGGATGTGGGAAGTTATGGAAATTCGTACTTATGCGTGTGTACTAAATGGTACTAAATTTGGTACAATTTAAATTTTGGGAGAACTGATAGATTTAGAATTCTGAAAATTTTTGAATTAAGATTTCTATTGGATTTTATGATGTAGGTAGTTATGGAAATTTGTACATAAGTGTACTAAATGGTACTAAATTTGGTACAATTCGGATTTGGATGAAACAATTGAGCTTGTAGCCTGAATTAAGATTAGAGTTGGAATGTAGGATTAGAGGAGGTGGGAAGTTATGGAAATTCGAACTTATGTGTACGAAATGGTACCAAATTTGGTACAATTTAAATTTGGGAGAGAACCGATAGATTTTGAATTCTGCAGTTTTGTAAATAAGATTTCTATCGGATAGTATGATGTAGGAATTTTTGGAATTTCGTACCTATGTGTACGAAATGGTACTATATTTGGTACAATTCGTATTTGGGTTAACCAATAGAGCTGGTATCCTGAAATTTGGAAAAGGAGTGTAGGATTGGAGTATGTAGGAAGCTTTTGGTACAATTTGGTATAGGGTACTAGGGCCGCTGTCCATGTGTAGCCCGCACGTAATGAGCTATGGAGGTGGTTTGGAAATGCGTACCATATTTCTACGAAAAGTACCAAATTGTACTAAATTATCCTCAGTTACCCTCAAATTTGACATTGGGGTTTCTGCTGGTATCTGGAATTGAGATATGGAGTTGGTTTTGAAAATTTGCCTTTTTTTGTACGAAAGGTACTAATTGGTACTAAATTTAGTATTGGGTGAATGGATGGGGCTGCAATCCCGATATTTGATATAGAGGACCATGTTGATGTCTGGAACTGAGATTTGGAGGTGGTTTTGGAAATTTGTCTTTTTTTGTACGAAAAGGACTAAATGGTACTGAATTTGGTACTGGGTGAAGCGATAGGGCTGGAATCCTCAAATTTGATATGTAGGTCTCTGCTTGTATCTAAAATTGATATATGGAGTTGGTTTTGAGAAATGTGTACTAATTTTGTACGAAAAGTACTAAATTCGGTTTTGGGTGAAGGAATTGAGCTGAAAACCTGAAATTTGATTTAGATGCCCTGTTGGTATCTCGAGTTGAGAGGTGGTTTTGGAAATGCGTACCATATTTGTACGAAAAATACCAAATGGTACTAAATTTGTTATTGGATGAAGGGATAGGGGGCTTTTATCCTCAAATTTGATATTCAGGATTCTGTTGGTATCTGTAATTGAAAAATGTGTCGTTTTTGTACGAAAGGTAAAGGAATAGGGATGGAATCCCGAAATTTGATATAGAGGACCCTGTTAGTATCTCGAATTTGGATTTGGCAGTGGTTTTGGAAATTTGTATTTTTTGTACGAAAAGGACAAATGGTACTAAATTTGGAATGGGATGAAGGGATGGGCCTGGAATCCGCAAATTTAATATTTAGGTCTCTACTGGTATCTAAAATTGAGATATGGAGTTGGTTTTGAAAATGTTTACTATAAGTGTACCAAAAGTACTAAATAGTACTAAATTGAAAATGTTTACTATAAGTGTACCAAAAGTACTAAATAGTACTAAATTCGGTTTTGGGTGAAGGAATAGAGCTGGAATCCTGAAATATGATATAGATGTCACTGTTGACGTCTGTTGGAGGTTGTTTTGGATTTTTTTTTTTGTACGAAAAGTACAAATTTGATATAGAGGACCATGTTGGTGTCTGGAATGGAGATTTGGCAGTGGTTATGAAAATTTGTCTTTTTTTTTCTACGAAAAGGACTAAATAGTACTAAATTCAGTATTGAGTAAAGGGATAGGGATGGAATCCTTATATTTGACATAGAGGAGCCTGTTGGTATCTGGAATTGAGATTTGGCGGTGGTTTTGGAAATTTGTCTTTTTTTACGAAATGTTCTAAAAGGTACTAAATATGGTGTTGGATGAAGGGATAGGGCTAGAAACCTGAAATTTGATATAAGGGTCGCTGTTGGTATCTGGAATTGAGATATCGGGTGGTTTTGGAAATTGTACGAAAAGTACTAAATGGTACTAAATTTCGTATTGGGTGAAGGAATAGGGCTTTTATCCTTAAATTTGATACTGAGGCTTCTGTTGGTATCTGGAATTGAGATATGGAGGTGTTTTTTGGAAATTTGTTTTTTTTTTTTGTACGAAAAGTACTAAATGGTACTAAATTTGGTGTTGGGTGAAGGGATATGGCTGGGAATCATTCATTTTGATACAGATTTCCCAGTTGGTATCTTAAAATGAGATATGGAGGTGATTTTCGGAAATGTGTACTAAAATTGTACGGAAAGTACTATATAGTACTATATTTGGTACTAGGTAAATATAACCATTTTTTAATATTGAAAAATGTTGTTTTTTTTATTTTCCAAAATTTCAATATACCTGCCCGTTGTGCGTCTTCTTGCTCCGGCGATTGTCATTCTGGATATATGACGTCGTATGCGGCCACTCGATCTCCTCTGTTGACTCGATACCGAGCGGACACTATATTCCGTGGCCGTTGAGCTACGTCTACGATCGATGGGTATTATATCCGAACACATAGACGTCGAAATAATGGAGGCGGTGGAGCGACGTTTCGCTCCCGTGAAAGTACAACCACTCGAGGAAGTGGTCGTTGCCGACGAATCCGAACGCGAAAACAGCGAAGAACGTTTGCTGCGACTCGACGAGGTGCCTGCAGCGTCCTGAATATTGCTATAGAATTCTTCGGTATCACGATCGTATGAATCGTCCGCCTCGGCTTCGTTGTCAGCCTCAAAATGTGGATCGTTCGATTCTCGATTGGTTGGATGGCTAGCTAGGCGATCCTCTTCGTCGGATCCTACTAGGGTGTCTGAGTGCGTTAAATAGCCGTTGCTGGAACTTCGGTGGATGGCACGCGAGGTGACGTTACGCGACGTGTGCGAGGAACCGTTTAATTCTCGGTCCCGTTCCCGCTCCCGTTCCGTTGCGGGAGATTTTGAACGTCCCGGTGTGTAATAGTCACTGGCCGCCGTTTCGTAATCCGAGGAGGCCCGGGTGGGATGGGAACGTGATGACAGCGTTGAAGAGCGATAGTAATTCAGCGAGCTATTGCTATCGGGCGAATGGCCTCTGGACGGGCTTAATGAACGTGGTTGTCTAACTAGGCGGGCAGGGGTATGCGAAGAGGTGGGTGTACGTTCCGAATCGCTGTCACCACCACCAACACTACCGCTAAAGGTTACTTCATGGTATTTGAGGATTTTCGACGACCTGAGGAATATTTGCGGGACTGTTCTCCTCCTTCTCCGTTGGAGTTGTGTCTTTGGCTTAATATGGATGAGGTGGTGGCGGCGTTGATGGTGGCTTGTGTAGGCCTCCTCTGTTCATACTCTTGGCTATCGCTTGGCACTATAAAATCTTGCGGTTGCCTCGATCTGCCATTCGGGGACGGTGGGTTGGAATTTGTTGAATATGGACGTTGTTGCCTTTCACCGTTAATATTTCTCTCCTGGTCGGCTGCTATTGCACCACCAGCCTCAATGGCCAACAGCTCTGCTCCGCCACGCCTTCTTCGCCAGGGAAACGCCCGTATAAATGCAAATATTATGAAAAGCGTTGCAAACATAGCCGTTGTTACATTGTTTGGGGGAGGAAATTTTTTGATTTGAATTTAATTTTTTGGTTCGATTTTTTGGAGGGTTCGGATATTGTCTTGGCGAGGATGATTTATTTTTTTAACATTACTTTTTTGATTTTTTTTCTTATTTTAAACACTTTTTATGATTAAAAAATATATTTTTCTGTTTACTATTTTTTTGTTTATATGTTACACGGCAAAGGAAAACTTGTTCTGCAAAGAAAAAAAATTGAAAGCAAGAAGGTATTGTGTTAAAGTGGAAATTCTCGTTAAGACTGCGAATAGACCCCAGCTGGCGATTATTTACTTTTTTCAATGAAAGAGGAAGAAGAAGAAGAAGCACTGAAAAATGTCTCAAAACAGTTGTGTTTTTTTCTCTTTTTCCTGGCATTTGGATGTTGTTGTTGTTTTTTTTTTGTTTCATTCAATCGAAATGCCTATTGAATTTATTGCATCCCAGAATGCTAGAATGTCATTTTGATTAAGTCATCAATTCGTTTGTTTTTTTTTTCTATTTTTAATTTATTTTTATTTAAATTTTATATCAAGACCGTTATAATTTGATTTTACGTAGCGGACCTTGTCTGCCCACGTGCCATTTCTCTGGTACCCCCAGACATCTGTTACAGAAGCGAAGATGGCAAAAAAGACAAAACCAAAACCTCACCGCAAAAAATCATTTACAATGACTTTCACTGATTATTCATAAAAGAGAAACAAAGAGCGTGAGAGAGGGAGGTAGTGAGAGAGATTAATTTCTCTCAAACAATTAACCCATTCAGGTGGCGAGGAAAACATGGTACGATTAATAGATGAATGTTTCAGTAAAAAAAAAAACATTTTTCGAGAAAGTATTTTCCCAGGGACAGAAAGTACTTTTAAGTACCATCAGTACTTTTTTTGGTACGAAAAGGTGCTTAGATGAATTACTTATTTTTGTACCAACTAGATATTTAATCAGGTAGAGGGTATACAAGGCGAGATGAAACCTCACCGCAAAAAATCATTTACAATGACTTTCACTGATTATTCATAAAAGAGAAAGGGATAGAGCGCGAGAGGGAGAGAGAGACAGATAGGTAGTGAAAGAGGTAGAAAATAAACAATTAACCCATTGAGGTGGTTACTATTAATAGATGAATGTTTCCGTAGAAAAAGACATTTTTCGAGAAAGTATTTTCTCAGGGACAGGTACTTTAAAGTACTATTTGTACTTATTTTGGTACGAAAAGGTACTCAGATGAATTACTTATTTTTGTATGAACTAGATATTTAATCATGGTATTATTTTATTTTTTTGACTATAGAGGGTATCCCTGTATACCCTGTATGAGTTGAAATAAACTGCAACCAATTTCAGACTGCTGTCAATTTTAAGCCGCTCGTCCGACAGCTGTTAAATTTATTCCAGTGACAGCTGATTATGTTGTTCGCAAGTGTACAAAAGCATTTTGGTGAGAATTTTCCAGAAAAAAAAGAATTCCATTCGGCAAATTTTGGAAAATGAGCTCGCGGTAAAGCCATTAAAAGCGGGAAAGCCAAAAAATGCAAGAACTTACACCGCCGCAACAGAATGAAAATAGACTTAAAAGAACTAAAGAGTTGCTTCGCTTGGCCGAAAGTGGTGAACTGCCGAATTTGGTTTTCTCCGCTCCGATGAGAAAACATACATTGTTCAGCAGTTTGTTAACAAACCAAATGATGGTGTTTACTTGCCAAAGAGGCCGCCTTCGGTTGGCCACCAGAACTCAAGCGCCTTCCATGGTAATGGTGTGGGCCGCCATAACAGCCGATGGTCGCTCTCCGCTCGTATTAATCGACTTTGGCATCAGAATTAATGCCGAATATTATCGCGAAAATATTCTGGAGGGTGTATCAAAGCCTTGGGCACGCAAACATTTTTGCCGCAGACCTTGGACATTCCAACAGGACCCCAAGAAGACAATGGCCACAAAGTCTCTGGATATCAATCCGTTGGACTATTGTGTCTGCAGTATTTTGAAAAGCAAGGTTGGCACTAAAAAATACCCCAAGCAAGTGCTTTGGCGGGAATGGGTCAAAATACCGCAGAATAACATTCGGGCAGCGTGTGACAGTTTCATTGGCCGTTTGAAGGCCATAATTCGTGTCAAAGGCGACCAATTCGAAGAAATCTAACTAAACTAAGATTTGATGCTATTTTCGAAATTTTTTGCCTTCATTCAATAAAATTTAAAAAAAATGTAAAAATTATGGTGTTTGACTTTGCTGCAGGAATGTATCGGTCCACTCCTTCTGGTACCCTCTACGCAAAAAAATCAAAAATTTGAATAGCTATGAATCTCATAAAATACGAAATGAGCATCCGATTCCTCGGCACATCTTAATATTAATATTTCTATCACTCCGATATATGGTGTGAAGATGAAATATAACGGAAAACTTCCTTCGGTATCTACCCCACAACGGGTCAAAACATTGAATAATTATAAGCCTCATAAAATGCGAAATAAACATCCGATTATCTTCAAATTTCGCACATCTTAATCTTTCTAACCACACATGATTTAGTATGAAGACCTGATAGATCGGACCACTCCTACTGGTACCTCCTCCACAAAAGGTCAAAATTTTGAATAATCAAAAAGCTTAGAAAATACGATATGAATATCCGATTCCTTTCAGATTTGGCACATCCCAATATTTTTATCAATACAAGATCTGGTGTGAAGATGGAATATATTACACAATGTCTTCTGGTACCTTCCCCACAGAGGGTCAAAATTATGAATGATTTTTTAACTTTCATAAAATGTGAAATAAGAGTTTTCGCTTCGAAAGCTTGAGCTGACAATACCTGAATAAAGAATAAAAATGTAACCAGAGCCATCTATACCCTAACGGGTTACATATGCATCTGAACAAACTGTAAATGAAAAGCAATATTTCAATTGACATGTAGATGTCGTTAGTCATTAAAAATATTTTACAATTTCAAAACTCTTTTGACCCTCCACTATGATAAAATGAAAAACAAACTATCCTCACATCATTTTTCAAAATTTGGAGAGTATATTAAGTTTTTCATTCCGTTTGTAACACCTTGAAGCATACATTTTAGACCTCACAAGGTATATATATTCTTGATCAGCATAAAATTTTATGTCGATTTAGCGATGTCCTCCGTCTGTCTGTCTGTGGAAATCGCTCAAGCTTCCGAACGAAATGAAGTAGGTTGATAAAATTTTACTCAAATGTATATGATGTCTGCAGGACTACTGGTATTGAAAATGTAGGTCCACGTTTAGGTATAGTCCCCATACCTTTTTTCGGTATTTTTGTGATTTATGTCTGCAGGACTTTTGGTATTAAAAATGGGTAATGTAGATCCACGTTTTGGTATAGTCCCCATATAATGGTACCTTCCTCTTTTCGGTATTTTAGTGATTATTCACCGGAAATGTTTCAAATTTGGTATTTGAAGTTCGTAATGGACAGAAAATTGTCTGTGCAGGTCCACGGCTTCGTATAGCCCCCATATAACGGTACCTTCCGATATTCGTTATTTTGATTATTTTAGTGACGTTATTCTCCGGAATTGTTTTAAATTTGGTATTTGAAGTTCGTAATATGTACTACAGCATAGGAGAGAAAATGGGCCGTGTAGGTCCATGACTTCGTATAGCCCACATAGAACGGTACCCGCCGATATTCGGTTTTTTGATGATTTTAACGACATTATTCACCAGAATTGTTTCAAATTTAGTATTTAAAGTTCGTAATGGATACTACAGCCTATGACAGAAAATTGTCTGTGCAGGTCCAGGTCTTCGTATAGGACCCATATATCAGTATCTCCAAATATTCCGTATTTTGACGATTTTAGGTACAATTCCCACCGAAATTGTTTGAGATGTCGTATTTGAAGTTCGTAATGAATGCTTTAGCCTTTGACAGAAAATTGTCTATGAAGGTACAGATCTTCGCACAGCTCCGATATAACGGTACCTCCCTATAAACGATATTTTGATGATTTTAGCTACATTATTTCCCGTTTATTTCAAGTTTCGAATTTGAAAATGGTAATAGCTTATGACGAACAATGTCTATATAGGTCCACGTCGTATAGACCCCAATGTAACGGTATTTTTAAAATTTTAACAGAATTTTTTAAGGATTTTATTTTTTGAAAATTTCTAAACTCGTTCCAAATGGTGGAGGCTATTTAAAGTTCGGCCCAGCCGAACTTACAGCTGTTTTACTTGTTTTTTTTTTTTTTAATTTTAAATCTCTCTTGACCCCTAGCAACCATTGGAACTGATGAAAAACAAACTATTACCGCATTTTTTTCTAAACCTTTTAATAAAAATAAAATTATATTAAAAACTAATTATATTCAATTTTTTCCCAAGCACTTTTTCGTTTATTCAACTATAACCTTGCCTGGATGGGCCCATTGACCCACAAAACACTCAGAGATAAAATGGGGAGGCTATTAACCCACAATCATAATTAGCTGCTAACAAATATGTTAGTTTATTATTTTCATTTGCTTTTGTTTAGATATTGATAATATCAAAGAGATTAGATGCGACGACATCAGAAGCCAATTAGGTCAATGGACGGGAGAAATGTTTGGCGGCAACAATTTCTCCCCAAAAAAAGAAAAAAACAAAAATTCGCATTGCATTGATGATAATGCCGGGGTGTTAGAAAGATATCGATTCCAATGCCAAAGATAACCAATACCCAGGAACCTACATTTTCGCACATGAATAACGTGACTAATGATGGCCAGCCAATAAAACAAATAAATTTCCTATTTTCCTCTCCGGGTTTTTTTCTTTTTTTTGGCAAGGCCAAACAAAAACCACCTGTGCCTGATGGGGTGATGGGGCACATGGCGTGCGTGTTGTAAGGTCAATGAAATGCCCAAGAAAGAAAGAAACCTTCACCACCACTTTTCCTTTTTCCCCAAATAATAAATCTTGGTACGAAATTTTGGTAAG